GTGCGCAAACATTAAAAACAATAAATTCATATATGTTTATGAAATCACAATGCAAGAATTAAACTAAAAACACATGATATCGAATTAAAAACTAAAAATTAATTAGTTTCATCATTCATCCAATACAAGAGAATTTAGCCCAACATATTGTCGAAATTAAATTACACAAGAATAATTGAAAAAATATCACCCGAAAATAAGAAAGATGGAAGAAGTTGGAAAAATCCACGTTCTTGATGTGAATTTTGAATCCGGATGAAGAATCTTCAATATCCTATACAATTCGCCTTGATTCCACGTTGTTAGTCATGTTCTTCGCCTCCAAAATATATATAATATATAGATTTTTAGGTCTAGGGAGGTTCTCTATATGTATTCTGCTGTTCTCTCTTTATAAGAGCCGAAAATTGGTTGAAAATCACGTCCAAATTGGTTTCCAAAAGAGTTCTAATCGAATAAGGAAAGTTGTCTTCGCGCGCGAATTTTTTGTCTCTGCAAGCAGTCCGTATTTTGGTCATAAATTTCTCTTCTGATATCCGATTGATGCGATTCAAAGTGCGTTGGAAAGATAACTTAAAGAGCTACAACTTTGATTGAATAGAGTTTTTCTAATTCGGACGTTTATTATGCCAAAAAAGGGTCTCAATGTTCGGCTAAAAATCTGGAATATATCTTGAGCGATTGGAAATTGATTTTGATAATACTTTGATTATGTTCCATTCCTTTTTGAATTCTAATTTCAATCCAATTGTCTCCTAACAATCTTCAACGTATTTTCTTGAGTATTTGCAATTTGATCCTCGAACTTTGGATTTTACCATTTTCACTATATTTTGCTTCTTTTCTCCAATTCTTATCAAACATAAAGTTTTACCTACACAATGCAATATAACATAAATTATGTAAAATTTTGCCAAAAGATCAATAAAATCTTATAGTTTTAAGCCTCGAATAAGTGTAGAAAATACATTTATCAGTACCCAACCACCGCCGCAGCCAAATTCGCACCCAACCACAGCCAAAATCGTAGCCAAACACCATCGTTCACAAAGAGAGAGGGGGAAGAAGAGAGAGAGAGAGATGCGACGGTGAGGACGGGAAGAAGGGAGAGACGCGACGGGGAGAGAAAGAGGGTGGAAGAAAGACGGGAATTGATTTGGGGGAAAAGAGAACGTGTTTTCCATTTTTAGTTTTTGGAAATGATTTTTCAAAATACCAAAAAGAATACATTTTCAACAATTTCAAAATAGACACTCAAAACACAAAATTCAAAACGAATTGAAAACTCAAAACAACGGCACCTAAGTATTTCAATGTTGATATTTAAATTTTTTACAATGTCATTCACTTTAAAAGATAAAGTGAGAGGTAATTCAAAAGCCCACATTTAAAAAAAAGTCAAAATCAAAGTGGACGTCCTGTTCGCCAACGATAATTTTTTTTTACCCGTTATGAATTCTCACGCACAACGGCTATTTGGTTTGTCCGGTTCAGAATGTGAAAGTCCGGATAGGTAGTCCGGTTTGCCATAACTTTAGGCATTTTGACTATTATAAATATCACTTCGCTGCGTTCATAAAACAATTAGAAGAGAGCTTTTTTGTGAAATGTATTTGTGAAAAATCTTATTTGAGTTTACATTTTTACACTCATTTCAATTATTTTTTCATGACAAAAACTTTGATTGTTGAATCAAATTTCTTGAATCACTTTTCTTATCAATTTTTTTCATTTCTCTTTGTCCTAACTTATTTATATCAATCTTAAAATAAAGACATATTTTTGAAGAAGATATCCACACTTACATTTCATAAGCTTTTTCTTCATATTGAAAACTTTGATTGATTGAATCAAACTTGTAAAATCATCATATTTATCAAAGTTTGTCACTTTTCTGTTAGTAATTAATTTATTAAAATTATTTATTAAAAGAGATATATATCTTGTGAAAATTTTTGAACCTACATTTTATTTATTTCTTCTTCATCTTCTCATTAAAACATTTTGATTGATTGAATATAATTTTTTATTTCACATTCATCAAAAAATTTCATCTAACACTTAAGCTATCACTCATACTATTCATTGAAGTGTTAACTTCTCTTAGTACTTAACTTGTTTGTATTATTTATCAAGAGAGGAATTCCATTGTAAAATCATTTTGATAAAGTGTAGGTCGCGTTGAAGTCCCGTAAAGATTAACATTATATAAGGATCAATGCTCCTCGTTATAAGTTACCGTGTGTGTTGAGGTTCCATAAAACTCAATAGTGTGGGTCATATTGAGATCTCGTGAAAACTTAATAGCTGATCGTGTCGAGATCTCATAAAACTTAACATCGTATAAGGATCGACGCTCTTTGTTTTTAAACCACAAGAAGCGTTAGGTTGGATTACACCATAAGTCAATCAACATAATGACAAAGGTTTTGCTCGTGCCGGAGAGTTTGGTAACGAAGGACGTAGATAATTACTTTGGATCGAACATCCACGATTATATTGTTTGCATATCTCTTTTTTTTACTTATCGCTTTTATATTTGTGCTTACTATTTGAATTAATTTATTTAGTCATTGCTTGCTTGAATTTAGATTAATTTTTCGAAAAAATTTTAAAAACCAATTAATTCCCTATTGGTTAGTTATTATTGGGCTATCGTCTTAAAAATCACTATTCAAAATATTATTTTTCCCAAATAATGGTTGTCAAAAGAGCTCAATTTATTTTCAAATGTTATACTTCTTAAATTAACCAAACATTAGAGTCTCATTGATTCCCATTTTTTGGATAAAATATATTATGGAATAATGATTTTTTGGAGAATGTGTGGTTAAAAAGTAAAAAATAGTTTTTGAACTACGTGTATAATTATTTTATGGAAAGATGCATTGAAAATGTGTTTCGAAAAAAATATAATCTATAATATATTAAATATCACATCAAATGAGAATAATTTTTGGATGATTTTAATCTTACTTCAATTCAATTATTTCAATAATACCTTATTTTTCGTTTTTAATACGTAATAAATACTAGAAAATTATTGTTATGTATGAATTTCATGTTATTAATTATCAATTAATTAACATTCACATTCATCTAGACTCAATGATTCATGACTTGATGAATCTTGATCTACATAAATCTAAAATTATTATAAATGAATTTATTTCTATTAAAGTATCTAGAAATTTTAATGAGTGTTTAAATTAATGTATTAGCAATTAATTCTATGTACCAAATGTAGTATAAAAAAGTTGTTCATTTGTAATATTTCATCATAAAAAAAATTTTGAAATATGGAAGTTAAATTTTGAGAGTATAATTTTCTTCTCTTATTTACTTTCTTTAGTTCGTTTGAGACCATCAAACACTCCCAATAAATTTGTATTAAATATTACTTTTACAGAACTAATTTGGATTATAGATATTAAGTTTTGAGAGTACATTTTCCTTCTCGTAAATTATTCTAAATTTTATTTTCTTTAATCCGTTTGAAACTTATCAAATACTCTCAACAAATTGATATCAAATATTACTTTTAAAACATTACTTGAATCTTTCAAAATATCGCACGTTCAATAATAACTATTTTGGAAAAAAATGTGGCTGTAACAGGGGCTAGATGGGAAGAGTACATTTTGAAAGCACTTTAACAAAATCTAATCTTAGCAGTCCACTTAGATACGGAAACTACGTTGTAATTCCATTTTAACGCGGCAAGGGTATTTTCGTCCAAAACCGGCATTGTCGTGCCCTAATCACCCTCTCGCGCTCGCATATTCTTCTCCATTGTTCGAAATATTCCTCACAAACTCAAACTCAAACTCATTAGAAGTTTGCATAAAATTTCCTCTTTTTGATAATTTGTGCTTTCAGTTGGATAATTCTCGATTTCAGATTTGGATTTGGGTTTCTGGATTTCTTTTTTATTGGGAAATTTGGAGTAGTTTGGTATGGGAGTTCCGGCGTTTTACCGGTGGCTGGCGGAGAAGTATCCTATGGTGATTGTGGATGCGATAGAGGAAGAGCCGGTGGTTATTGAAGGCGTTAAGATCCCTCTGGATACGAGTAAACCGAATCCGAACAATATTGAGTATGATAATTTGTATCTGGATATGAATGGAATTATTCACCCCTGCTTTCACCCTGAAGACCGCGTAAGTTTTTTTTTGTGAATTTCTGATATTATGGTTTTCTGTGATTTTTTTTTTTTAATGAATTTGACTTATCTTTATTTCGAGATTTAACTGTCTGCCTATTCTGTTATTGCGGGAAACCAGTAGCTGTGGAAATGGAACTTAGAATTTGGGATTCAGTTGATTCGGAAATCCTGAGATTGAATAGAAGTTCAATTATTGTGCTTCAGGTCTTTTGCATGTTTAAATTTTGAAAATTAGCTTATTGTTGTAAGTTATGCATCTTAAAAAGAAAAAAAAATGATGGTTGTTAGTTGAATACCATCAGAGCTGGTATTTATAGAACTGTGAATTATTGTAGAACGATTAGGAATACTTGATTAGTACATGATTTGTTTATTTAGCCCTTGTTTGGGCTCCATTTTAATGAAATTTCGGGGGAAAATGAGTTTTGAAATAATGATTTTTTTTGAAGAATGTGTCGGTAAGGAAAATTTTTCGTTTTACATGTATTTATTTAGGGGAGAATATTTGGTTGGAAATGAGTTTTGAAAAAATGAGGGGTTGTTCTCTTTGTGTTTCAGACTTTCAGTTTCGTGTTTTGAATTCATTTTAAATTTTGTGTTTTGAGTGTCCATTTTGAGATTGTTGAAAATGTGTTCTTTTTGGCATTTTGAAAAATTATTTTGAACACTCCAAATGTGCTTTGAAAATTTTGACTTGATTATAATTTTTAACTTGTTTTCAAAAACGCGTTTTCGAAAATGGGAAAGAGAACGCGTTTTTCACTGATTTGGAAAATCGAAAACAGAAAACGGTTTGAAAATGGTAAAGAGAACGGGCGTGAGTTTTTGAAAAAATGGTGGCCAATATTATTATCTTGGTCTGCTTTAAATTTCCCTCCATCACTACATGGGCATGCAATTTCCTTGTAACTACCAGATGTATTTGGTACCATGACAATAGTTTCTTTGTTTCTTACTGTCATTTATCTTGAGAATTTGAGGATGCCCACTTACTTCCATTACCAGTTTATAACATTATATGCACTTGCATCTAACAATCCTTGCGTGTGAACGTTCTGCTGATTTGGGACATCCATCTTTTACAATAGGCTTCAGGAACTGCGACGGCTGCTGAATTTTTGTTGTTTAAATTTACCAATTTTGGGTGTATTGGCTTAAGCGTATTACTTTTATGTTCCCTAATCTTCAAAATCATAGTTTACAAGAAGAGATTCATTTCTTGAATTGAAATCTATTTCAAATGTAATCACATCGCATTGTAAGAAATGGTTAAAAATTTAGAAACACCTTCTTACACAAAAAGCTTTTTGGCAAAGATTTTTTTCAACTGAAAAATGATTTTTTTGGAGGATTGTTTGATTTGATGTGATTTGACAACTGATTCTTGAAGTTTATTATATGTAAGTTGTAGTAGTACTTTATGTAATTGATTCATTGTTCTCTTGTTAGACGTATATAAAGTTATCCTTATTTTCTCATGCAGCCATCACCAACCACTTTTGATGAGGTGTTTCAGTGCATGTTTGACTATATAGATAGGCTTTTCGTGATGGTTCGGCCACGAAAACTGCTATTCATGGCTATTGGTGGGTAAAAGATTAAATTGTCCTAGTCATAACTTCAAAATGCAAGTAGATACTGATTTGTGCACTAATATCAAACTGGAATTGCATGGCAGATGGCGTTGCACCAAGGGCTAAGATGAATCAACAACGGTCAAGGCGATTCAGGGCAGCCAAAGATGCAGCAGAATCAGTATGCAGCCCTCTTATGTATTTCCTATTGACAGAATTAAAATGGCTGTCACAAGACGTATAGGGTAGTCTCACATGGAATATTTTTTTGCAGGCAGCTGAAGAGGAAAGGTTACGTGCGGAGTTTGAAAGAGAAGGCAGGAATCTTCCACCCAAACAGGAATCGCAAGTTTTTGATTCCAACGTCATTACACCCGGAACACCATTTATGGCTGTTCTATCTATTGCTCTGCAATATTACATCCATCTTAGACTAAACAATGATCCTGGGTGGAAAAATATTAAGGTGCTATTCCTTTCAACTCATTCCAACAGCTGTTATTCCAAATTATTTTGGTTATTGTCTTTTAGTTCGAGGCACGAGTGAAATTGCCTATAGCATCTCTAACAATGTAGAGCTACTGCATCAATGTTTAGTTCATTAAATTTCATTAAAAAAATTCTTCTTCTTCCTTGAAGGTTATACTTTCTGATGCGAATGTTCCTGGTGAAGGGGAACATAAAATCATGTCATACATTCGCCTTCAAAGGAATCTTCCTGGTTATGATCCAAATACCCACCATTGTCTGTATGGTTTAGTAAGTGTCCTTGTTAACAACTGTTAATTTTCTCTCTCATGCTCTTACAAATGTTGACAGTTATCTATTGCAACATGACAGGATGCTGATTTGATCATGTTGGCCTTGGCCACCCATGAAGTTCATTTCTCAATACTTAGAGAGGTACATGCCATACTCTTCATTAAAAGGCAACTGTAACTCAGTACTTAAATTTTTTTTGTTTACTTTTAAGGCACATTAATTCTGTAGTCTGAATTAAACAATTATGCTCTGTTGAAAAGTGGCACTAATGGAGATGGTTGCGCTTAATGTTGTCTTGCAATGTGTAGCAGTGCTTGTGCAGTAAGTATCAGTAGGTCAATTATGTACTTTCATCCCAATAATGTTTGTTTTCTTTAAAATTTACATCACAGGTTGTATTTACTCCTGGGCAACAAGATAAATGTTTTCTATGTGGTCAAATGGGTCACTTTGCTTCAGATTGTGAAGGAAAAGCAAAACGAAAGGCTGGGGAGTTTGATGAAAAAGGTGATGAAGATGTCGTGCCTAAAAAACCATACCAGGTTAGCTTCATATGCGTACAAAGAAGCATAATTGAAATTAGCTTTTATGCATAAACTCTTCTTAAGCTAATTTGTGCTCATTTTGCAGTTCCTCAACATTTGGACTCTTCGAGAATATATAGAATATGAGATGAGGATTCCTAATATTCCATTTCAGATTGATTTAGAGTGTATTATTGATGATTTCATATTCATTTGTTTCTTTGTTGGCAATGACTTTTTGCCACATATGCCTACTCTGGAGATTCGTGAGGTGTGTTTTAGAGTTTCTCTTTTATTTTGGTTATTTGATAGTGTAATTTTGTGACTGCAGTCGACTGCAACCTTTGACTCCAAAGTCAATTTAAAATTACATGTGCATGCTTACTAAACAATATAAATAAGATATCAGGATTGCCATTACAGAACATTAAAGTCCTGAGTTTTTCCTGCTTCTATTTATGTGTTTTATTTCCAATATCTAATGACCATTAATTCTACAAAATGAAGCTTTAAATGGTAAAAGCTATAATATTGGAAGAAAGCAACGACGTAGCAAATGATGAGCACGCTGCTGAAATTTAATAAGGCAAGCTGTCTTTGTGAAGTATTGTTGAAAATAGAATTTAATACTAACAAGTAGAATTGATGAGGATGAAATTTTGGCTGAATGTGGTGAATGAAGTTTATGCTGAAAAACTAATAGGGAGTGATGTGGGTTCACAGAGAAAGGAGGAAGTTGAATTTGCTGAATTTTAACTGGGGTAAAATTCTAAATTGTCTATTAAAATCAGTATTACGGATGATCTCGAAGTTTTATGCATGGTATTTACAGAAAGCCTTGCATTGAAAATAGTGTATTTCGTTAGTATATGACACTGCATTATTTATGTTTCCCTTGCCTTTATTTTCATTGTTAATTCTTTGTGTTTGTACTCTTTTTACATTTAGGGTGCAATTAACTTGTTGATGGCTGTTTATAAGAAGGAACTCAGGGTTATGGGTGGGTATTTGACAGATGGATGCAAGGTATGTTATAATTTGTCTATGCAGTCATGTTACCCACCTTTGTTTTTACGTCAGTCTGAGTAGTTTGCAGGCTTGTTCTTATATTGTGTGCGCTGCTTCTCCATTGTTTTGCAGCCGAACCTAAGCAGGGTGGAGCACTTCATTCAAGCTGTGGGATCATTTGAAGACAAAATATTTCAGAAAAGGGCTAGATTGCATCAGGTTGATTATATCACAATCCCACCTTTTCTCCCTCTCTTCAACTTTTTATTAGTGAAGTGCTTTATTTACTTCTTTTACTGCTCGTGTGTCGACGATGACCTCTGTTTAGCAAGGATCACTGTTAAAGAAGCTCTTAATGTTATTGTCCCATTGTTCCAAATTTTACTGTATCTTTTAACATGAAATACAAGTGACCTACAAGTGTGAACAAATAAAATAGCAGTGACAAGAGGCACTGCCTTGTTGATATGCATACAGTAACATGTAGATGAATATCTTCTTATTGTGCATTGTTGAATTATATTGCTGCCAAATGGACATAAGCATATAAATCTTGTGACAGTAACATTCCTTCCTATGTGCATATCTCTACATTTATTGCAGTTTATTTCCATTGACCAAATGATTCCCTTCTTTCTTAATGGGAAAAGCAGAAAGCCCTCGCAGGAATTTACGAAGTTTTCATAACTGTGATTTGTTGAGTAACACTTTTGTTTTCTCACCTTTCACTCGATAAGAAGATTGTTAGCTCATGCAGAACTGCAAAAGTACCTACCTTGCCTTTTCTTGTTGGATGTAAAATTTGACACAGAACGATAGCTACACCAGTTTTTATCTATTTAACAATCATTTTGACGATGATTCTAAATATTTTCAAGTGGATTGAGGGAATTTGCTGCCTTGATTTATAATTAATGTGCTCATCATATATATCTCATGTTTTTTGTAGACTATTAGCAAGTGATTATTTAGTTGAATGAACCTAAAATAATTGTTATATGATCCTGCTCTTCTTTTCAGAGACAAGCTGAAAGAATTAAGCGTGAATCTCATTCAAAAAGAGGAGATGATACCGATCCTCAAGTTAAACCTCAATCTTTAGTTCCAGTTGCTCGTTTCCATGGTTCTCGTCTAGCTTCTGGTCCTTCACCTTCACCCTATCAAAAAGGTTCTTCAACTTCTCTTGGACATGATCAACTGCGAGCTACCTCAAGTCCTTCCACCCTTGAAGTTCAGCACAAGCAAGCTGGAAAATTTGATAGTAAACAAACCTATGCCCGTGCTCAGAAAACAGCACGTGTAGATTCAGGGGCAACTATAGGCTCTGCCATTGTTGAAGCTGAGAATAGTCTTGAAATTGAAGTATGTTTTCCTGCTTCGGGAGAGGCACTTTAATGTAATTCTTACTCCATCATTCTTTAGGATTATCATCTATTGGCCAAATTTATTGGTATGAGGTTTGCCTGTAGGGACTTGGGGTACATTTACTACTAGGATCACTGTTGTCTTCATATTAAGCCCTTGTTTGGTGGGGGGGATTAAAATAAGATATTTAGTAGATTTTGATAAAAAATGATGAAATGTGTGGTTGAAAAGTTGTGGGTCTCATAAAATGTGTGGTTGAAATTAGTTGTTGACTTTGTGTTAGATTAAAATTTGGATTTTAATTTCTACCAAATAGGGGCTAAAAAATTATGCATCAGTTACCATTATCATCAAAATCCAGTTAAAGCAGTTTCTTATATATTTTTCTATTCAGGCACGTGAAAACAAAGAAGAACTGAAAGTGAAGCTTAAGGAGTTACTTCGTGAAAAGTCTGATGCATTTAGTTCAGATAATCGAGAGGAAGACAAGGTTTAAACTTCATTGAACTTTCTCCTTTCAACTTTATATAAGTTCTCAATTATTACAAATTATATTTTGTAAGGAGGACCAATGTAGAAGATATAGACTGTGAACAATCAGTGGTGACACTGCAGTTTATGTACTTGTGGGCGGATGTGCATGTTTGTCCTTTTTTTATTGTCTGTGTCCGTGCATGTAAAATTCCAACTGTTAGCATGTCGTATAGTTTGTTCACAAATGCCCAACCACCAGTTGTGATGCCAACTTGATTTCTTATGATGTTTGTGAATGGGAAATATCGATCTGCTGTAAGTGCTCAGTAGAGACGCTGTATATGGATCTAACAAATTTGAATTTATCAAAACGTCTCCCGGAAAAAGTAGATCTTTTAACTTAATATCATGACACTGCAAAATACTGAATGAACACGTTATCTTTGAGTAAACCATGAAAAGGAACATAGTCCAGCTGATTATGTAACAGTGAATGAGTTTATTTGATTATTTGGGAGGCTTCTTAATAATAAAAATTTCCATACCGTATGCCAAAATTAATTTGCTTAAATTCCCGGATCACATCAAGATCATGATGTTTATCTTCACTGATCAATTTGTCATGGAATTTAAGACATAAATTTGGATGTTTGTAACGCCGACAAGGTGTTTGCTTTTGGTATTTATTTAGCTGATGTGCCTTTTCTAGGTCAAATTGGGAGAACCAGGATGGAAAGAAAGGTATTATGAAGACAAATTCTCCGCAAAAACTCCTGAGGAACTTGAAGCAGTACGAAGAGATGTTGTAAGTTTTTCAACTTGATGTTGTTTGTACTGTTAAAGCATGAAAAATCAGGAATTGGCTCCATTTTAGAATATTATCAGTTGCTGGGTTCAAGAAATCAAGATTAGGTGTCATTTAGATTTTTGGCTGTTCATGTTAGATTTACCTTGCTCATATCTTATTTAAGCATCCACCTTGAAAAATGGAATTTTTGAGATATGCTTGGCTTCCTACTCATTCATCGAAAGAGGTACGAGCCTCAGCTCTGTAGGTAGAATTTGACTGAGAGCAGGTATTCTGAAGTAAATTCAGTAACTTTTGAGTTCAATAGACATGACTTATTATGTGTAGCTCTTCTTTTTGTTGAAATCGTATATTTGTTCATCTACCTGAAACTGATTAAAGGTTTTTAACAATAATGATTCACCTGATATTTGATATTTTTATAGGTACTGAAATACACAGAAGGGTTATGTTGGGTTATGCATTACTATTATGAAGGGGTTTGTTCTTGGCAATGGTAACTTTTTTTCTTTCTTCTTTGGTGACATGTCCTTTCTTTTATGTTTTAAATGAGAAAAAAATGTACTTCGATTTTTAGTTTTGTTTTTGATTTATACTCTCATTTTTTGCCTCTGCACGTATTAACTCTTCTGATGAAATCAAAATCTCATTGAAGATATGATGTCAATGCCTATATAACCCACTGCTTTACAAAACCTCTGGAAGCCTTATTTGAGAATTGACTCCTTCAAAATCTCCTCTACTCCAGTTGCCTTCAAATAGTCTAAAAACATAGTAGCTGCTTTCTAAGTTTGTCTTTTATCCAGGTTATCCTGCCATTCCTGACTCTGTAAAAAGGCTTGTGCTTCAACACCTAGATTCCGTATATTCTATGTGTATGCATTTTACTCGAGGAAAATCATGTGGCTTTTGATTTTCGATTTTCAATTTAAGGATGATGTTGGTCATTCCAATTTTTAACTGTCATCATTATAGCCTAGGTCCTGCGACACTTAGGGTCAGTTTGGCAGGCTTCTGCTTCAGCCTTTTGTAGAAGAACTTATGATAAGGTCACCTTGGACCAGCTTTCTTCATAAGCTCTTCTAACCATATAAAGCATTTCCAAAAAATTATCTAAACATGCCCCGCCCAAAAGAAGCTTCTCAGTCTTAGAAGCAGTTTTTGACTTTTCAAAAACCCTGCCAATGGGCCCTTAGTTTCATGATTTTAACATGGCTTGCATGCATGGTGATCACGTGCAGATTAAGTACCATCATGCTCAAGCTTGAAATTTGTATATTGATTCAAAGTTTAAAACTCTATTTGGAATGTTAGATATTTTTTTCTTTAATTCCCTCTTCTTGCCCCTTCCACAGTATTACATCAAAACATGTCGTCTGCACTCCTCGCTGATGATACTAGTTTGACGGCATCATCTATATTCTTGCAGGTTTTATCCTTACCATTATGCGCCTTTTGCTTCAGACCTTAAAGATCTTGGACAGTTGAACATAAGCTTTGAATTAGGGTCTCCATTTAAACCATTCAATCAATTGCTGGGTGTTTTCCCAGCTGCAAGGTTTGACTGGTTCTCTTTTTATTCTTTATTATAATTACAATTATGACCGTTGAAGGCTCTAACTGAGTTTATTTGCAGTGCCCATGCTCTACCTGAGCAATACAGGAAATTGATGACAGATCCAAACTCACCTATTCTTGATTTTTATCCCACAGGTATTATTAAATGCAATTTTTTTATATGACCGCACAGAGGATGTAGTGAAAATGAATACGTTAAAATGAATGTGCCAATAGAATGTATAAGATTAGAAATTAGAATAACGGTTTGTTTTCGTTGGATTTTCCAGTAGACGTTGTGCGATGAACTATGAACTGAATCAAGTGGCAAAAAAAGATTAATGTTGATGACCTCATTTATTTGAATAGTGATTTGTTACTGTTGTTCTTAATGAGCAAGATATAAATTACAATCGCTTTTGCTTGCTGCCTTTTTGTTCCTCCAGATTTTGAAGTGGACATGAATGGTAAACGGTACTCTTGGCAGGTACTGTATTGTGTTTGCTTGAACAATGATTTTATGAATGCTTTGTTATACTTCTTTATAATCTTCGACTTCTAGGGCATTGCCAAACTGCCTTTCATCGATGAAGACCGTCTACTTGCCGAGGTCGCTAAGATTGAGCATACACTCACGGTAAAGATTTTTGCTGCCATCAAAATTTAAGTTCTAGGTTATTGTGCAGGATGTTTATTTTGTTTAATTTCTTCAGGAAGAGGAAGCACGGAGAAACAGCATGATGTCTGACATGCTTTTTGTATCATCATCTCACACTCTCTCTCCATATATATTCTCTCTTGAGGATCGCTGTAAGCAGCTGACAGATATAGAACGAGCTGGGACTAAGGAGCGGCTAGATCCAGGAGCCAGGTTTGTGTTGCCAAATTTACATTTATTGAAAATCTATGAT